TTTTGTTGTCCTTTTTCTCTATCAAATCTTTTAGAAAACATCATAAATCATATATCATTTGAAAGCTTAGAAGCCCGAGATTCGTCCTGTGAAAACCCTTTTGAAATCAAACATTGCGTTACCATGGAAATGGTACTTTAAAATCTTTTGGCGGTCTCCTCCCCCTTAGTGGGCGGTGTCAAGTGTCATATTACAAAATGCATTACGGTCTTTTAGAATCAAACCTTTTTAAAATCTTGACAAAAAACATATCATTGGAAAGGTCTGAGTCTCAGGATTCCATATTTGGTGGTTATTTTGAGATATAAGTAATATTGACAGAGAAATCTAGACATTTGTTTGAGATAGAAGTAATATTGACAGATAAATCTAGATATTTGTGACAGAAAAATGCATAAAAAAATTCAATGGAGTTTGGATGGCACCCGGTGGCTATTTGTGGTATGACGCCCTAAATAAAATCTCACAGGAACCTACATTTTTTAACTTCAAATTTGGAACATAACTTATTTAGACGTAAGGCTTTAATTTTATATCAATTTTGGATTCAAAAATATTTTGTTAAATATTTACTTTATATAAAATAAAAAAAATGATACAGTGCATTTTCTTTACAGTAAATTTATACTACCATAACTTTTTTATACTTAAATTTTTTGAAAGAATTCCACTTTTCCGATAATCTGCTGATTTTCTTCTTTAAAAAGAGACTGTGACTTATGTCTGTATTCCAAAGTGTTCATAAATTACAGCAATTTAAGCTTGGATAGTGCACCTGCATGCCTATTTTAAAAAATGGGGGGTGAGAGTTAAGGGGTTTTGAATTCAAAAGGGGGCCCACCCCGTCCGTATACTAGATCTGATACTGTAAATAAATTTGTATATTTAATCTGTTCACTGAAAATAAATTTACAGTTGTGATTGTACGTTGTTTTTGATCCATTATTGTGTGCAAGGACATTTTGCTTAGCGTAATCCAACTGATAATGAACCTTGGACCGACCGTGGACCGCCAGCAAACAGTAATTATAAACCAGCAGCTCGTCAGCGGACCGCTGTCGGAAAAGTGGCAGCTGCCGCTGGTGGTCTGCTGGAATAACGATGAGCAAAACACCGGTGAACCGCGGGCGGCGTCCGCCTGTGATCTTATGTTAGCTGGGCGGTCACTGTGCCCCCTCACCTCTGGTGCCATCTCCAGAGTGGGCACTCTCATTTTAGTCTGTGATGCTTTGCTAATATTCTTGAATTTTCAAACTGCTAACACTTTGCACTTTGCAGTTTCGAATTATGCCTAACTGTATGACCAAAAATTTGTATGTTTCCGCTGTTTGATCGCGCCGGCGCCTCACGCGCACACTATATATTTATCGCAAATAGCACAGTCGTTCACCGTGCCGTTCAGCTTGAGCACCGGTCTAATCTGGCATATTTTCGCTCATTATGATTTTTTCCATCTATACTGGAACGCGTGTGAACTACAAAACCAATTTTACCTAATAAATACATAGCTTCAAATACATCACGCATATGGAAACATTTGGATTTGTGCCGAATGAGAGAGGTAGGATATGAGCCCAACTGTCGCGAATCCGGTCCATGGACTTTCATCCAATGAACACAAGAGGTCGCTCTCTTACCATATTGACACTCACTCCACATAGACTGTCACACATCACTCTGGACTACATCTCTCATGCTCCACTGCACTGATTGCGCACTCACCTGCATCCAATAACACACACTATATAACACTCACTCTGATCCTGCTCTAGTGGCCGAGTATTCTGTTACAGGGCGAATGAGACGTGAGACGTACGGATCCATTTGCAAGCTTTATTTCAAGGCGTGGTCAGAAACAGGCATGGGTCAGACAATGGCAAACTGGTATGTAGAAGACAATGCAAGAGCAGTCCGGTAAACAAGCGAGGGTCAATCGACGGCGAACGTAATCCAACAAGGCGAGACTAGAGGGATAAATCCAGGTACACAGGCAAAGATCAGAACACGAGAAAACCGACAAGGCAAGACTCAGAAAAGGCTAGGAAAACTAAGCAGGCTCCGTAAGGTAGCTATCAGCTAAACAGGGATATACGCTAAACAATACTCAGCCACGGAGCCTCTTTATTGATTTCCTGTTTCATAGTCTAGCCTAGTCCTGTCATAGTTTTGCCTTGCCTGCTTTCCCGTGTTACCTGATTTTTGCCTGTTTATCTTGGATTAACCCTTTGCCTGCTGTTTCGGACTGTGTTTGCACCTCGCCTGGACTACTGCTCGTGTTATTGGATAACCCATTGTGTCAAGCCCTCTGGATATTGTTAGCCGCTGATCGACCACGCCCGTTTTGGATTACTCTTCTGTCTTGAATATTACAGGCATTTACATTTTGACAGCAAAAAACAGACTTCAGTCACATGAATGACTGTAAATAATAACTTTTTTGAAAAAATGAAAAAAAAAAAAGACAGTTTTCTTGTTTCTGCTTATTTCATTTCAAACTGAAAAACAAACTATCAAAACGTACACGGACCATTGGGAAAAGTATAGACCTATGCACTTTTCATGCAGGTTGTTGCCAGTTTCTTACATTTACAGTAGGTGATGCTCCGAGTCCGAAATGAAAAGCATTATAAAAAGTACCATATGCATAACAAGTTAAAGGGCCAGCACAAAGCAGCTGAGCAGACTGTGGAAGTGCGATGTCACTCGCAGACTGACTTCTCAAACTTAAAGTAACGTCAACAAAAGAAAGAGGTAGGCTGATGTCTGACAGTTATATTAAAGCTGAAATGTACTTTACGAAACAAAACTAAATGTTGTCAAAAGCAGACATAGGCTATTTAATATTAATATTTAATATTTTATGTAGTCTAACTTGTTTAGCTTTTACTTTGTTTAGTTTGTTGAAGTTAAAGGTTGTTTGTTTGATAGAAACCATTGTTTATATACAAGTCTACGATCCTGTGCAGTGTTAAATCTTACATTTAACCCTTGTGCACTCCTCATTTGGGAGTCACAATCATGTTACACCTGAAATTTAACTTTTTTTTTCTTCAGTAAAATCAATCTAATATATTTTTGTTCAATAATTTTTTTCTTTTTTCTTTTGTATTTTGAGAGAATTTTATGATAATAATTATGTAATAATTATTATGAATTTTCCCCATTGAAAATAGTACAAACATTTTTTTCTCTAATTTTTCAATCAATGCAGTATCTCTTATTCAAATAGAGACTAGGCCTTTAAAATCAATTTTTAAGGCAGCTTAGCACCTCCTAGTGAGAGCAAAGAAAGAAAAACATGTAATTTCATGGTGTAACCACTAGATGCCTGTATAGTAATCTATAGAGAGGCTTTTGTATTCCAAAGTTGTTTTTATACATAATTGTTTACTTTTATTAGGTTGTAGATTTAAATGTATATTAAGGCATTCTCAAAGACTACTTTTTGTCAAGGTTTATATTTTTTTGTTGTTTTAAATGTTGATTTGAAGCGTCAGTTTTTGAATTATTATTACTACAATCAAACCTGAATACAGAAATCATTTTGTTATACAAAACATTAAAATTCTATAAAAATGTAACACAAATAAACAGGAATGCTTTATCAGAGCTTAATCCTTCTGGGCCTGATCTGATTTTAACCTCTTGTTTCATTTTTCTGATTCGTTTTGTCTATGGTTATAGCCATACCAATTCATTGCACTCTAGATGTTTTAGAGTTTCACCCCTTCATTGCTGTGCAATTTTTTTCTGCATCGTGGGGGATTTGTAGATTGTACACACAAAAATGTTCTGTATTTAAATTTTTTTTTTGCCATTTCCCATTAATTTCCTACGGTCGGTCATTTTTGACCGAAGACCATGAATGATACTCGGAGGTCCACCCGGTATATTCATTGGTATGTACGCTTATGTGTTTGATTACTTGTCACTTACAAACTTTGACCCACTTCACTTCTTAACCACACAGTGGCGCTGTAATATCATCTATAAACAATTGTATGGTTTGTTCTGTGAAGCCAGTAGCCTATGTTGACTTTTTTTTTTGTTTTTTTTGTAATAAGATCTGAGCAAACACTCTTAAAAATAAAGGTTCTTTATGTTTCCATGAAGAACCTTTACCATATATGGAACCTTTCCATCGCACAAAAGGTTCTTTATAGTGGAAAAAGGTTATTGAGATTTTTTAAATGTTCTTCACACTATGTAAAAATGGTAGCTCTTAAGAACTCTTCACTGAAAGTGGGGGGGGAAAAAAACCTCTTTGGAAACTTTGTTTTTAAAGTGATGTTTAAATATTAATACATTTCGATTGAACTATGTAGAACATTTGGGAAATTCATCAGTAAAGTCAGTGTTTAGACAACTTAATATGATCAACTTTAAATTTCAAGTGAAGAAAACAACTTTATTTTATTACTTATATTGATTAATAATTGTGGACGGTATATTTAGTGAACCCATTGCATCTTTAGCAGTTGTGTCTTTGTCCTTCTGGATCTCCTATTATCATATGCAGGTGGTGCTTTGGGAGGTGCCGTGGGATGGTGGATGACTAGTGGCAAATTCCGTCCTCTTCATCAGATCATAATGGAGATGACTCCTGAAGAGAAGATGGAACTGTACTCTGAGGTCATGGAAGAACTGGGCAATCTGGCATGGGATAACGTGGCTGGACTCATTTAGTCAGTGATGCGTAAATCCTCTCTAAAAATGAAAATACTTAGTATTATAATCTCTTTTGCCACAAAACAGCTCAAAGTCAAAATAGCATCTTAATTTCACCTGCTTAGTCTAAGCCAAGTTTGACTATCTGAGGAGCTTTTTAGTTTAGGTTTTGTTATTGTTTCTGAAAGATATGTTTTACTTTAATTTTTCTGAATTATAAACATGTGTAGCAGCCCTTCAGTGTCGAACAAAGGAGGCAGAGGGTTTTGACGGGTGCCTTCGATTTATTTACTCAGATGCAATAAACTTCATTGCTGAAGTATTCGTTGTCTCAGTTTTTTTGTTGCAAATTATCTCCATTACATCACAACACTGTGTTCACCCAGTGATTGACTTCATAACAATAACATCATATCATCATGGCACTGTAACTTCAAAGAAAACAAATGAAGAAACAAATATGAACAAAAGAAAAATAAACTCAACCAACATTCACAATAAACAAACACCTCTGAGTTGCTGTTATCGGAAACCTGCGTGTTGCCAGATGTTGAGGGGATTCTTGCCATCATGGACTGCAACATAGTGCTCGTTAATTGGCTTAAAAGCAGGGCACCCTCCTGCATTCTTAACACACTCTGAGGTGTGCACAGGCACATTTAGAGTGTCTGTAATGAGGCTAACGGGGCTAAAGGCACACTTTAAGAAAAAAAGTGCTTTTCACTGTGCCATTTACATTTATTAAGCAACATATTTTGTGTGAAAATAAATCATACAAGTCGTGTATTTTGTTTAAACATCTTATAAATGTATGAGGTGGAAAGGGGGGCCTTTTACCACACACACGGGTAAAAGGCACACAGTATTGTTACAAATAATTCAGCTAAAATAATGTTATTTTTTTAAAATAATGTCTAATACTTGTTCAAAACAATCACTTTAGCAAAGTTTGTATTATTTTCTGATTATTTTGAAAAATAAAAGAATAAATTGTTGTTAAATAAATATAGGCTACTGTCATTAAAATGTTAATATAAAATATATATTTTAAAATACAGTAACAAAATCATTTTAAAAAGTAAAGATTCTGAAAGCATTGAAGGAGATCCCATAATAATTTAATATACATTTACAGTAGTAACAACAAATGATATTTTATTAGGCTATATGATATGATTAATATCATGTTTTTAAATATGATGTTTCATTCTAATCATGGTGATTATCTCTAATATGGACACCCAAAATAATATATTTACAATCTGAATCTAACCACGTCATGTCAACAAATGGAAAAGTCAGCCATCTATTAATTATCATGTTAATTACTGTGCCTTTAGCTCCAACAGCAGGGGCGCTTTTTACCCCAGATGCCATACTTTTACATATTCTTTCGTTATTTAAAATCTGTTGCTTTAATTATCTTAAACAAAACTGAACATAATAAAAGATCAGGTCATATGTTTTTTTAAAGTGTTCCAATATTGTGTTGGAGTCCCCTGCAACAGGTTTAAATGCATCTAAGGTCAGAAAACATATTTTTCAAAGAATATACATTTATACATAGAGTCGTTTGTCCATGATTGCGAAACGGTTTCGTTCAAGCAGTTCTGAGCGAAATGTCTGTAAAGCCCTCCCTTCCATAAGCCTACTCTGCTCTGATTGGTCAGCTGGCCAAGCCTATTGCGATTTGGCACAGAGAGGAGTACTTGAGCAAGTTAGCGAGCGCTACCACCTGTGTTGCCAAGTCCGCCATTGTTTTTGATGTTGCGGGTTGAAGTGACCCCAATAACATCATATTTACAACAGAGTAAAGCACAACAAAAGGTTCTAATTGTATTGCTGTGGTGTAGTTGAACACAGCGTCTTCTCAAGATGATGTTAACACACTAACTAGCGGAAGTGTTTGTGGGCACACTGTAAAAAAAGTTAGTTAAATTTACAGTAAAATACCGGCAGCTGTGGTTGCCAGAACTTTACCGTGAAAAATACGATAGCAACATTTTAGATTTTACAGAACTGTTTAAATTTACAGTGAAAAACCATATTTAATTAACTGATACAATGTTAATATGCAAACCTTTGAGTTAACAAATTTTATTTGCAGAAACCGACTGCACTTAAATTGACCAATTGGCATTTGTTTATAAAGTAATATTTATAATGTTTAGGTAATGTGAGCATATTGATATTGAGAACTATTTTGCTTAAGTCCATGAAGAAAAATCTACTGATTTAAGTCATTAAAAGCATCAATTCAACTTAAATCTCTTGCAGATAACAGCAGCATGTATTCATGTGTGATTGAAATTATCGAAAACACTCACACTGCATCAGTAACTACACAGTTACTGCCTTTAAATAAAGCAACAAACAGCATACCATCAGTGTTTCTCTGTCCGTCCTTGACTTAAACACAGGCTTTACTCTCCAGCACAATGGTAACCCACAAAACCCAACAGGAAGTTGACTGTTAGGTTTTACAGTATTTTGCAGTTTTTTTCTTGATTTTACCGTGAAATACTGGCAGCTGTGGTTGCCAGTAATCTACAGTTATTTTACAGTTTGCATTCATAAATTAAATTAACAGTATAATTCTGTTAAAAATACATTTCACAGTGTGTTTTTTTTTCATCTCACACATTTAACCCTTTTAATTCCACAGCAAAATCCTCAGTTTTAAAAAGCACTTATATGTGTCCACACTACAGAGTGTTTAGGTAACACTGAAGCAGTGATGAAGTTAATGAGGTAATTAAGTGACTATTTAAATGAGGAGTAAGCATTAGTGAAGAACACGTGTTAACAAGCAGAATCACTGAAGGAAAGAGAAACAAGAGCAGAGAAGTTTTTCTTTAATTGATTTAGTTAGCTGTCTTTATTTAACAGTTTTTATAGCAAGAAAAAACAAAATTATCTATGATTAGATAAAACTGGTGGTTGTGATGTCAAGACCATCATGAACTAGATTCACTGATCTAACCTAATGTTTAATCTCTTGTTAAGTGTGTGTGAAATATTACTAATACTCGAATTGTACTACTGATACTACTGCAATCAATCATTGTGAAACATTCCTAAGCATAATATGCACAAATAAAGTTTTGAACTATGGCAGAACTTAAACACATACAGACATCAACATTCAGCCTATGAATCTCAACATTGGTGACAATAAAAAAAAGCTGGGAGTTTTGTCACCCTGCATGCATTGCGGCATGATTTAAACAATTTTTTTATTAATAGTCACCATTGTTGAGATTCATGTGCTGATTCTTGATATCTGTGTGTATCTAAAAGGTACTGTAGCTCTAAAGGTTTTGTGCATAAAATGTTTTTACATTCCTTCACAATAGTTTGTCAATTTATCTTGTAGAGTCATATTAGTACCATAAACAAAAAATTAATTGCCCCATATAATTAGACACAAATTGAGATCAGGGAATCAGGTCATGAAATGATCATTACATCATCATTAATAATTATTAAAACCACTTCATTGCAATTTCTCTCAGCTTTTCTTGTCATAACAAGTGTGTTTTACAAACACAGTTACAACAGCAGAGAAAAACTAACAATAAAGAGTCAAGGGTCAAGACCCCAACTAAAGCAACCACTGATCGCCAAAATGGTGAGGTCAAACAAAACATTTTAAATACAATATACACCTCTGTTAATTCTCACATTTTTTTGTAGCTACAGGTGCATCTCAATAAATTAGAATGTCATGGAAAAGTTCATTTATTTCAGTAATTCAACTCAAATTGTGAAACTCGTGTATTAAATAAATTAAATGCACACAGACTGAAGTAGTTTAAGTCTTTGGTTCTTTTAATCGTGATGATTTTGGCTCACATTTAACAAAAACCCACCAATTCACAATCTCAACAAATTAGAATACTTCATAAGAACATAAAATAGAATACTTCATAAAAACATTTTTAGTGAATTGTTGGCATTCTGGAAAGTATGTTCATTTACTGTACATGTACTCAATACTTGGTAGGGGCTCCTTTTGCTTTAAATTCGGCGTGGCATGGAGGTGATCAGTTTGTAGCACTGCTGAGGTGGTATGGAAGCCCAGGTTTCTTTGACAGTGGCCTTCAGCTCATCTGCATTTTTTGGTCTCTTGTTTCTCATTTTCCTCTTGACAATACCCCAGAGATTCTCTATGGGGTTCAGGTCTGGTGAGTTTGCTGGCCAGTCAAGCACACCAACACCATGGTCATTTAACCAACTTTTGGTGCTTTTGGCAGTGTGGCCAGGTGCCAAATCCTGCTGGAAAATAAAATCAGCATCTTCAAAAAGCTGGTCAACAGAAGGAAGCATGAAGTGCTCCAAAATTTCCTGGTAAACGGGTGCAGTGACGTTGGTTTTCAAAAAACACAATGGACCAACACCAGCAGATGACATTGCACCCCAAATCATCACAGACTGTGGAAACTTAACACTGGACTTCAAGCAACTTGGGCTATGAGCTTCTCCACCCTTCCTCCAGACTCTAGGACCTTGGTTTCCAAATGAAATACAAAACTTGCTCTCATCTGAAAAAAGGACTTTGGACCACTGGGCAACAGTACAGTTCTTCTCCTTAGCCCAGGTAAGACGCCTCTGACGTTGTCTGTGGTTCAGGAGTAGCTTAACAAGAGGAATACGACAACTGTAGCCAAATTCCTTGACACGTCTGTGTGTGGTGGCTCTTGATGCCTTGACCCCAGCCTCAGTCCATTCCTTGTGAAGTTCACTCAAATTCTTGAATCGATTTTGCTTGACAATCCTCATAAGGCTGCAGTTCTCTCGGTTGGTTGTGCATCTTTTTCCTTCCACTCAACTTTCTGTTAACATGCTTGGATACAGCACTCTGTGAACAGCCAGCTTCTTTGGCAATGAATGTTTGTGGCTTACCCTCCTTGTGAAGGGTGTCAATGATTGTCTTCTGGACAACTGTCAGATCAGCAGTCTTCCCCATGATTGTGTAGCCTAGTGAACCAAACTGAGAGACCATTTTGAAGGCTCAGGAAACCTTTGCAGGTGTTTTGAGTTGATTAGCTGATTGGCATGTCACCATATTCTAATTAGTTGAGATAGTGAATTGGTGGGTTTTTGTTAAATGTGAACCAAAATCATCACAATTAAAAGAACCAAAGACTTAAACTACTTCAATCTGTGTGCATTGAATTTATTTAATACACGAGTTTCACAATTTGAGTTGAATTACTGAAATAAATATATATATATATATATATATATACAGGTGCATCTCAATAAATTAGAATGTCATGGAAAAGTTCATTTATTTCAGTAATTCAACTCAAATTGTGAAACTCGTGTATTAAATAAATTCAATGCACACAGACTGAAGTAGTTTAAGTCTTTGGTTCTTTTAATTGT